CAGCTACTCCTGGGAACGCCAACCCACTCTCTTATGCTTGTCTCAGGTTTTGTGGAGGCTAATTCTTTACCATGACTTTCTTACTCTCCCCTCTGTAATCATAAGAACTTTACAGGTAAAGGGGCCTCATAAGAAATTGGCCCAAAGAGGTGAATTGAGCCAAACAGTGTCACCAGCAATCATAGCAGAGGTGGTACCCAGGCACCAGTGAGTATCGTGGGAGCTGAACTCCAAGGTCACTGGACACCCCCTCTCCCCAGAAATCATGGATATGCTTCAGTGGGCCCATGAGACATCCTCCTGACTGCCCCCCACTACAAAGAATCACCTGGTCCAGCGTGACACAGTAGAGAAACCGTGGTGCAAATATTTAGTTTTAACAGATGAGAATCTGTAGCTTTTATTAGATTCTCAAAAGAGGCTAAGGGCCCCAAAAGGGCAAGAATCACTAGCAAAGTGATTGAAAACATGGACTTCAGAGTGAGCCAGACCTAGTTCAAATCCTCTCTTAGAAATGTGACTTATAATAATGCACTCAACTGGCCTGATCCTTGGTTTCTTCTTTGATAAAATTGGGCGATAGTCCCTAATGTATAGGATTGCTGCCTGGATTAAACTGCCTAGTGCATGTACAGGGTTTAGCACAAGGACTGCACAAAGTAGAAAATCATTAATAATTCTTGTCATTAATAATTGCAGTGCCTTTAATCATCTCTAGGACTCTGATTTTAGAAGCAACGTAGCATGACAGGTGCAAGTCTGACTCAAAGACAAGTAGACCTGGTCACGCCAGTACCCTTTAACAAGTCACTTAATTTCTCTGGGCCTCCTTTTTATATCTCTTAAATAGCAGAGAGTAGTATCAAAAGGCTGTGGTAAGAAATGAATGAGAGAACATATGCAAAATACTTGCACAAGGACTGGCCTATATTAGTGTTCGGTTAAAGGGAGACATAGAACTCAAGCATCTTGTCCCCTAGTCCACTCCTCCTCCTGCATTAGAACCAGGCGAGGGCTGATGAGATTTGAAGCCAGCCCAGGACGTGCAGAAGACCTGAATCTCATACCAGTTTCTATTTGTCCTAAAGTGCCCTGAGAAAGTTACTTCTTATCTTCCCTCTGTTCTCCTCCCTCTCTTTTTCCTCACTTTTAGAATTCTCCTGTACTCCCTCCCAGCTTGAGGATGGATAGAGCTGGTTATGGGGTTGTCAGAGGCAAGAGTCCAGTTGCTGTCTTGGTGGGAAGGAAAGTCTTAGTGTGTTCACGCTGCTGTGACAAAATACCATAACCTGGCTGGCTCACAAACAACAGAGATTTATTTCTCGCCATTCTGGAGGCTGAAGCCTAAGACCAAGGCACAAGCAGATTTGATGTCTGGTGAGGCCCACTTTGGGTTGATAGATGGGCATCTTCTTGCTGAAACCCCACATGGCAGAAGGAGCAAGGATCTCTCTCTCAGCCCCCTTTTTAAGGGTGCTAATCCCATTTATGAGGGCTCCATTCTCATGACCTAATCACCTCCCGAAGACCCTACCTCCTAATAATCTAATGTTGGAAGCTAGGATTTCAGCTTAGGGATTTGGTTGGGGTGGGGGTGGGGGTGGGGGTTATACAAACATTCAGTCCATAGCAGAAAGGGATTTTTTTTAACGAATGTAAGCATGGCCCAGATTATAATGAAATAAATATCCTAAGATTACTGGGAAATGTCCTCGAATAGTTGAATTCGCATATAAAATCAGTTGATGAGAGTTAGCATCCTCATGCTTAATTAAGCATTTACTTGAACATACTATTAATGGAAAATATAAAACCTTGGAAACCACTTTCCTTGACAAAATTACTCCAAAGCAGCATAGACATACACAGTTTTAAGGGATCTTTGCGGAGTAAGTAATGAGCTTCTCATTGAACCAACTTCATTTTCTATCAAGGCTAGACCTGGACGTGTATGTACGTAGAGCTGGATGTGTAGAGAGGTGTTTTTCTTCCCTCTTCCTTGCTCTTCCATCCCCCAGCTCAGTCTCCTGTGTTCATACCTTTTCTGATCTGACTGGCTTTTGTATATAGGGTTCTCTTCCAAGAGATATCATAGAACATATTGTCCTCTCTGGTTTTGAAAGGCCCTTTTTTCTTGAAGCATAACTGCTTTAGGGACAGTCATGGTCACCTGTGTGGAAGACAGAATGGTTAGTGACTAGATAGTGCTGAGACGTCAGGACTTGGGCCCTCTGGTCCAGCTCTGACCATAACTGGCTGAACAAGTCCTAATCTAAGTGGCTTCTCTTAAGAGGAGTTCAGTAAATGGTTTCTCACCCTCTTTGGCCATCACATTTTTTATCTATACACAGAAGAGGTTGGGCAGGATGACCTCTAGGGATGCTTCCAGCTCTAAATTTTGTGATTATATGCTAAATGTTTGGACAGCATGGTGCTTAGTGGCATCACCATTAGTGAAATTACCCATCCTTTATCTTGCAAAGAAAAAGCACACGCACCGATAGCAGCAGACTAGCCACGCCTGAAAATGAGAGTGTGTGCATTTTGATCACACCCAGAGCTCTACAGTGATACTTGTGATGAACGTGAATGTCTTCTAAAAATAAAAAAAATTTTAAAATCCCAGCTGCCCTGGGGTGACCTGACCTGCCTTTTGTCTGGGATTTGGATTCAGCAAACGTATTCTACTTCGGTGTAGTTCTGCATGCTTGAGATTTGGAATGCAGCTGAAGATAAAAACTTCTGCTTAATACCTATTGGTAAGAGATTATTTTACAAAAAAAAAGAAAAAAAAATCTCCTGTCTCCTTCTGTCTTGGTTACCTCTTCATGCAGACCCCGTCCGTACTTCACAGAGAAGGTTCACAGGAGGTTACCAGGTGGGATCTTACTCAGATTTCATTTCCTTCATTCTACAGATATTCATAAAGCTTCGGGCTTTATCTCTCTCCTTCCTGTTGCGGAGGACAAGGTGTCCTGCCAAGACTGAGCTCCACAAACCCAGCACTAGACCTCATTTCCTGCTAACACAGCTCGGATCTTGATCCAACTCTTCTGCTTCCCCCTCCCCTTTGAAAACCACCCACCGTCTCCCGCCATCCTAAAAAGATTTTTAGGGACCCTCCTAACCTCCTTCCCAGGATTCCGCCCAGAAGCCCTGCGTCCATTAGAATCATTGCTCAAGCCGCGTCTCCCTGCAGAGGCCCAAACCATTACGGCTGTTTTTGTTTTACCTCCGTTTCCAGTAACTTTAATCTTATCCTTTATGTGCCTCACTCAACACAGATAACAGAAGTGATTTCTTTCTCTTTAGGCCTTTCTTGTAAATCTCATTTCCAGATTTGCTCCAAATTAGGGGAAAGGTTAAGCGGAGTGGGAAGAGCAGAGGGAGGGAGGGGACGTTGCTCTGCTGAGACAGCCCACTCAGCTGCGACTGTCACCCGTCTATGGATCCCGTTGCCCTGCCATCTCGATCTCTTCATGGAGAGGGCGTGTGCTTCTCCGGGCGGCCCCACGATCCCCCGTAGCCAGCACCCCCTCCCGCAGGTGGCCTGTGGGGCGCCTCCAGGAGGACCTCAGCTGCCCAGAGCGGCTCTCGCCGCTCCGCCTGCGCCCCCGTCCGCGGAGCTCCCTCCGACCGTCCTACTGGTCACCGTCTGTCTGCTCTTCTCCTTTCTGAAGGAAGTGTTTTTGTTTGGCATTCTGTTCTCTTCATTCGAACATGGATCCCAGATGTTTGCAACTGCAAAAACTCTTTAATATTTTCCTGGCCCTGTTTCAGTGTTGCGCAACTGTGGTCTAGAGAGGAGTAATTCACCAGGGAAGCTCAGCAGGGCAATCCAGAGACAAGGTGCATGAAACCTGACCTCGGGCTGCTTTATCTCTGGCTAGACCACACCACTTCCCTGCCTCTGTCTTCTTATCTGTCACCTGCAAATAAAAATATCAATCTGCTTCCCTTCTTGGGGTTCTGTGAGAATCACTTGAGATAATTGAAGGGGGAAAAAAATCTCTGGAAAGGTAAACTGTTATACTCACCTACTATTATTTCTGTTAAATTTATTAGCAGCAGCCAAGGCATAGCATCCCTGACACTGCGCCTGTGCCTCATAACAAGAACTTTCTACCCTAGTGGGACACAAGTATAAGACCAAATTAATGTCTCTAATCTGTCAATATTTTAAGCATCCCCCGCAGGCTGCCTGTTGGGGGGATTCACCGTGGTCCCCTCAAGTTCTTTTGTCAGCAGAGCTGGCTCCTGCTAGACTCCCGTTTACGAGGGATTCTGGCTGAAGATGACTGGTGCCTAGAATTGAATTAGTCCAGAGTCTGGGCTGCCTAACCCACATGCTGAGGTTCCTCCCTTGCTAGAGATGCTGGATAAAAGTACTCAGCAGTCAGAACCTCCTTGTAAAAACCCTTGGCAATCCCCTTTCACAAGCTTTTCTGCCAGAGGACATCACAGCAAATTGGTCCTTCACTACACACCTCTGTGATCCTTTGCAGACTATCAGACTAGCAACTTTTGGCTGTGTCGGAGCTAGCAGTAACATCAGGAGACACATTGCCGCTGTCAAGCACGCGACATTTCGGCGTGATGTCTCCCTGTGCCTGAAAATGCAAACCCAGTTTCAAGTGATGGGACCGCTTCCTGTGTTTCCAGCCCCCTTCCCTGGAGTCCCTGCCAGAGCAAATGGCAGAATCGGACTAGGTTAGCCCACTTGCCAAAGATTCTCGGCAAGAGACGTTATACAAATGTCTAAATTATTGCATCTCAGGACGCGAAGATTTCTAAAAAATACTCTCACACAATTCATTATTGTTTGTATGTGTGACTATTTGATAAGCTCCAGAACCTTTATCTGTCATAGAAAATAAATCATTCCTAATAGCTGAATTATTTTCTGTTTTCCTGTTTAAACTTGAACTTTCCCTGAAACAGCCACATGTCATCACCACACTTCTCTCTGTTTAATACTCTTTTTCTTTACTCTGCCCTAGGATGGTCGTCTGCGGATGAATGACCAGCTGATTGCAGTTAATGGGGAATCTCTCCTGGGAAAGTCCAACCACGAAGCTATGGAAACACTTAGGCGATCGATGTCCATGGAAGGAAACATACGAGGGATGATCCAGTTGGTGATTCTGAGGAGGCCAGAGAGGCCGATGGAGGTGAGCAAATCCTTATTGCGTCAGCCAATTGCCCACATGGCCTCCCGAATGCACAGCCCTCCATCGCTGCCTTGGTAGCTAGACTTGCACGGATTCTGAAATTGGAAAAACGTGCCCCAGAAGCCCTTTGACGGATTTATGTGGTGAACAGGTGGTTGTGTATTTCAGGCATAACTAGAAGGTGTCAAAATGTGCATATAAAGTAAGTAATTTATCAAATGTAACAGGACCATATTTTCTAGTTTTCCCCCCAGAAATTCCTAGAGTTCTGGACTTTATGATTAAGGCTTTATACACATAATAAATTATTAAAGTACGTAACATCTTTATATACTTCTGATTGATGTGCCAGCAGTGTCCATACCTTAGAAACTTCTTAGATCTGTACAATGCTCAGTGACAATGTGATCCTCTGTCTGTGCCCCCCCCCCCTTAAATGCACATGTGGAGAGTATAGAGCTGGGACTCAACTGATTTAAAATTTGACCTAAGCAAGCTGCTTGCTTCATGTCATTAAATGTTTTTAATTAAATAAATATACTTAAAATCTTTTATTATGTTTTCTTTATGGAATTTTTTAATGTAAGGGATGTTTTTACCTCGCATGAAGTATAAGCATAAACATTCTTGAATGCTAATATTCGTAAACATTTCACTTACAATTATATTACTCTATTTATATTAAACAATTATATTATTATATTATACAATCATACATTATATCATACAATTATATTAACATTATAGTCTCTTATATGTGAATAAGTTATTAAATGCTGTTAAGCTTATTTTAAGAAAAGAAGAAGAAAAAAGTTTATAGTAAAGAAAGGCATCAACAAATCACACATGTACTCTATAAGACAAATCATGTTTGTATCATAAGCAAAGTTAAAACAGAATAGTATTAAGACATACTCATGTAGAATATTAGTTTTAATAATAAGTTCAACTTAAAAAAAATAAAGGGTTTTCAAATTGACAAGAGGTGAAAGTAGTTTTGGATTACCTGAGTGAAAGTCCCAGGCTGGCCATTTCCTGGCAGTGTGAAGACATTCGTAGTTGAGTGCTGGGTACTTGTAGATGACAGATACTTTTGTCTGTTTTATCCCTTAATGTATCCTCATTTCCCAGCACATCGCAGACACTTAATAAATATCGTTGAGTGAATGAGGAAAGGTTACATCGGAGACCTACTTCATCTGAGAGGGTTGGCTGAAGTAGTCAGCATGGACTACATCTTACTCTGTTATATTATCAGCAGTTGGAAAGGAGTAACTGTACCTTTTCACTCTCCTGTACATAACCTTGTAAATGTTAAATAAATGTAAATTGGCCAATTACTGGAGACTATATATAATGAGCCAACTCGATTTCAACATTTGTGTCTGCTTAAGTGACAGAGAGGCTTCCATGAATATGTAACGGATTTTACTTATGTACATAGGTGTAAAAGCCGTATTTATTGCTTCCATCCGCGAGAGAATCGGCTCCTCTCTGGGTGACTTTGGTTCGTACTCGGGAGCCCTGGCGCTTCGTGGAACCCAGATGTTGGAGATGTGTGGGAAGGATGACCGGTCTGGGCGTCTGTATATTCGAGCGCCCTTAAGATTTCTTGGGGGAAAAATACCTCAACCAATAGGAAAGTCTGGAGGACACTGCTGTAGAGCACCACGCCTGCAGATAGCAGAAGTAAAAGCCTAAAATAAAAAAAGAATACGCTTGTTAAGAGTTAGTTGTCCCCCGCCTCTACCTTCCCTAACTGTATGCGTTTCTCTAAAGCATATGAGTGCTCTGTGGATAAGTGTTCTGTATTTTGGCTCATCTGGTTGGGGCATTTTATCATTTCATTCTCCTTTATTGCAGGTTTTTTCATTTTAAATCTCACACTCTGGGATGGGGTGGCCGTTGTACCGTCGGAAGAAAGTACTAGGCTTTCTGTTGGCTGCCCATCCTCAGAAACGTCTTGTTTATATAGTTCACTCGAGAATCAATTGTGAACAAGAAAAGGGGCAGAAAGCAGTTTTTATGAGGACATTTAAACAAGATCCATTTTCAGTTTTCTTGATATTTACATGCTTCCCATCGGGGATAAGCAGGCATTTGACTCTCTCAGCTATTGAGAATCTCTGTGGTACCCATGAAGATTAAAGAGCACTTTTTCTTATAGAGACAGCTAATCTTTATTAAATTGAAAAGAAATAATCTGTAGCTTTTGATCTCCCAAATCTGTGTTTTACTGTGTCAAAGCATATGCCGTGTGCTCGTGTTTTTGGTGTTTTCTCCTGTGGAACAGCAGTCACCCCCAGGGACAATGAAAAAGCATCTGTAACCTAGAAAAGGTCTCCCCACTGCTCACAGATTCAGGCAAATCAATTCAACCTGGCAAGAACACCATAACGGTTACTTGAACCTTATATTGATATAAAAATTGAAGAAGCTACTTAAGGAAAGTCAAAATATATAGTTGTTGGGGTAGTTTTCCACATTACCCAGATGTACAAGATACGTAAACAGTTTTGATGAGGACCTTGTGAGGAATACATAATGAGCCCTTGATTGAATCAAAATCATTTTAAACAGAAACATGTTTTTCAAAGGATGCGCTTGAGGTTCAATTGTAATTCTATTTGAGCCTGGAGACTTGGTGTTAAAAAATGGGTTATGACCTGTTTTGGGGTTTTTTTTCCCCCCCTTCCCCAAAACATTTTCCTTCCTGCTGCGAGCTCATCTTGATAGAAGCAGAATATGTTTAAAAATCCATTATATTTTTTATTGGCTGGGACACTAATGGAGGGCTCCTCGACAGCTCTATTTTACAAGCTGAATACTTTAATTAGGCCGGTTAGTGATCAGTTGTTGGGATATCGATTGTGTCATTTATCAAAGAGCTGGGAAAGCAGGAAAATTTTTTTTGGTTCTTGTTGTTGTTAAATCAAAGCAGGACAACAGTGTGATAATTACCAGAGGGAAAGTGGGCGGGAGGCAGGGAGGGGAGGGTGAAAGGGGGCTAAACGGTGATGGAAGGAGACTTGACTTGGAGCGGTGACCACACAAACAGTAAACAGATGATGTATCGTAGAACTGTACACCTGAATTCTTTATAGTTTTATTAACCAATGTCACCCCAATAAATTCAATTAAAAAGAGAATCGCGGGAGGCTATGCAAGGTAAGTCCTACCTCTCCTGCCTGCCAGGGCTCCGGCTTTACCTCGAAAGTCGTTGGCTGAGCACCAGCCTTGGTTGGACTAGCAGTGCAGAGGCAAAGGCTGTGGGAAAGGGTGTTGTAAACCTTGACAAAAAGCTAATGGGCTTTCAGCAGCTGAAAACCTTTCAATTATTAAGAATGCATAAATTGAATGTTCTAAATGTTTGTTTAACTAGCAGGGTACCGAGGCTTTGTAACTGAGGAGGAAAGTATAAATCAAACGCATTGTTTGGGCCAAATGCCTTTCTCAGAAGGCAGGAGCTTTGGGGCTCAGGCCTCTGTTTCTGTCTGCGGCACGATCCCCTCACAGTCGGTCAAGGGCACAGCCATGAGATGGCTTCCAGGCGACTTCCTTGAAATCTGTGAGGAGGACGCATCATCTGAGCAAGAACAAAGCCAGCTGTCTGTGGCGCAGTCCCCTTGAACAAATAGCTCTCCGCGGCCGGCCCCTCCGCTACGCCTCCTGCGCCTGTGGAACATGGCTTGGGGGCTGTTGTTCTGGATACAGCAGTTTCAAGGAAACTGTGAATTTGTTTACAGACTAGAATCTTTAACTCGAAATAGGAGGGGAAATACGGGGAGGGGGAGAGAAAAGTGTCTCAGGGGAATCACAGTCTGGTGGTGTCGCAGCGGTTTGTTTTAGCTCCTGGCCAGAGGACCTGGTGTCCTTCGTGGGGACGCACTCATGGCATTTCAGCGGCGAACCTGCTCGGGTCTGGTTGTCCTAGAGCATGTGCGCTCGGTCCCCAGGGGGAGAGAGGGGAGCCAGCTGGTTGGCAGAGGAACGTCCTTGGCATGAACTGTGTTCTTGTGTTGACACCGCCACAAGCTGTACTCCCAGATGGAAGAAAAATTGAAAGGAGCCCGTTGTAAGTGGGGGAAAAGAATAGTAAAGTTAATCCTCTTTTGTGCTGGCTATCAGCACGCCTAAGCCGCGGCACCGCATTGCCAGCGCTGTTTACTTCACAGTCACAGAGCCCGTCACGGGCGGGCCCATCCTGATTTTCCACAGCGGAGGCTCTGTGTGCCGCAGGCCCCCGAAAGGTTATTCATCAATCGATCATTTTGCTCCGCTTTCATTGACCGAGTCGGGGCATATTTTAAAAGCAAATGTAATTTTTGATTTCCATCCCTCAGGAGCCTGCCGAGTGTGGGGCATTTTCTAAGCCGAGCTTTGAGAACTGTCAGAACGCAGTGACCACCTACAGGAGAGGTGACAATGGCACGTTGCGTCCGTGTGGCACTGACAGTCCGCACGACAGACAGAGAGGTAAGGGTCTGCCCATGTTCGTCCCCTCAAGTGGTGCGAGGAAACGCGACATTAGGCGAGCGCAGTGCTCTGAGCCCTGAGCTGGAGGTGGCCGGGGAGCTGACTCAGAAGTTGTGAAGCAGATTCCTGGCATCGCCCCCAGTTTAAGCGACAGTTTCTGTGCTTGATGCCCCAAACACGGAGGGGTTATGTGTAAAACAAACCGGGCCTGGAGAAACAAAATGGCAACTGTTACTTTTTTTTTAAAACGATCTTTTTAATATTGGAAGTTAAGAAGTATAAATTACTAAACTTAGAAAGATGTGTGGACTAGTATTAAGTCATTAAATGGTCCTAACATGCTTCACAGATTTATGCTTGATTTTGTAAATACCGTAAACCGAGACCATCGTGTGACAGTGGGAATATTCTCTGTCTGGCCTCGCTGCACTGTCTGTCCCGTGTTATCTGCTGTAGGTCACATTTCTAGCAGAGCTCCAGATGGAAAACACTTGGATTTTCTTCTTTGTTTTTCAAAAATTATGCTTTGGGCCACCAAGAAAATACTTTTATTTCCCTAAATCTCCTTTCTGTAATAACTTTAATTTTTGTATTGTAAAAGCAATACATATTCATGACAAAAAATTTGGAGAAAAGCAATAAAAGGAAATTCAGTGTTACACATACTTCTATCAAAGATACTAAATACTAATTAATAACATTTTAATGTATATATTTCAAGTCTTCATGCAAATACTTGTATATAAAGTGAAATATACTATATACAATGTTTAGGAATTTTTTAAATTAATAACCATTGTGAACACCTTACTATGTCATTGACTATTCTACAGCACCACATTCAGTAGTCTCATAGTAATCTATTGAATGGAGCGCTGTTTATGTAATCAATTCCTTATTTACACTTAAGATGTTACCAGGTGTTAACTACGTAGAAAGAGCCTCTCAGCTCTGAGATTACTGAGGTTTCTCTGGATTAAATTGTTTCATCAGAATCAGACACCGTTTTTTCCTCTGAATTTCCCCATTTCAGTGAGAGCAGTAGCAACAGCTGTGACCACGTATTAAGTGTTCACTGTCTGTTAGATACTGTGTTAAGCAATTTCCATGCACACTCGAAGTGGATAATATTATTGTCCTCATTTTACAGATGAAGAAATAGAAAGTCAGGAGAGTAAATAATTAACCCAGGACCACACACTTGATCCAGGCAGAGTCCGGATACAGCCCGTCTCTTGGACCCAAGTGTATCCTCTGAACCACAGCATGGGCCCTGTCTTACACTGGTGCCTTAAAAGTACTGAATTCCTTTTACCTAATATAAAAATGTCCTTTAGAAGCCAATTTTACTTTGTGTCAGATGAAGAAATACTCAGTATGTCTCTTCTTAGCTTCTTAAAAATTAAAATTTTTCTTGACAAAGTAAGATCTCCTCCTGAGACCTTCAATTCCAACAGCACGAAAATCTGGGGAAGGACCAGCAAGTTAGGACAGCCTTCTCCCTACCATGCCCATAAGAAAATATCCAGCCTTAGTGTGACTTGACTGTCATTTAATTCTCAAGCAACATGTTCAGTGACAATCCAAGTTCAGGATTCTGTTCCTAATTATACCTGTGACATCCGCTGGAACAGTGGGCACGTTACCTCCTATCTGGTTTCATTTTCAGAACCTATAAAATATTGATGCTGAAGTGATAATTACACAGTATATTTTTAGAGGGCATTGAAATAGTCAAGGAAATTGGTAATATCTAGGAAGGCTAACAAAGGCTAAATTAATGAAACCGTGCAACTACATAAAGTGTTAAGACTACACCTAGGAAAAAAGTGTTTACACATAAAGTGCACTCAAAGCACACGCTAAAAACAAAATGTTGTAACATTTTGGAACGTCAGTAGAATGTCCAGAGTTCGCACTTTCTCTGAACACTTGGACTTCTGTAGGCACGAGTGGCCACAGACAACCACTGGGAGGTTCTGTCTGTTCCCTTCCCCCTGACACACAGATCCAGGTAGAACAATGTTTACACCAATGAAAAGCCCATGCAGATCAGCTACCTTCACCGTTCCTACTACTCTCCCTCCCCCCCCAACCTCAATTTTCTCAGGTAAACATAAAAAACCTAGTTCTTTCAAGAATTAGGCCTAACAAGCATAGACTCATTGTATGTTTTTTTTAATTGTAAGAAGCCAGTAGATAAAATTATCTTACTTTTTAATATAAGCATATTGACTTAGAGACAAAAATATATATAACAGAATTTATAAACACAATGCTGAGGAAGATTATCATGATCATCACCTCTTTGTAATATTAATAACATTTTAAATTTTGAGAGCCACTGACAGTTTCTGAGTTTCAGACACATGGGAGGTGGCAGTGGGTCACCAAGACTCGTAAAACCCGAGTGAGTGTTGATTCACCAAAACCAACTCTTTTAAGGAGCTCTTTGAGAAAAACAAGATTGATTTGACAAAATGTAATGTCTAGTGAGAAGAGGAACTGTTACAGCCAAAACATTGGCTTTTTTTTCTTCCCTTTTTCCTTTCCTTTGTATATTTAAAAACCCAATGTTGATATGCTGTGTTCCATCCATTTTTGTAATAATAGTACATACCACCCACAGTTCCACAGTTCATTTTTTTTGTACATACATATTCCTGTCAAGCTGTTACACAGAAAAGGCATTTTTGGAACTAACATTTGTAGAAATTGTAACACCATAAAATTCACATTTGTGTTGGAGAATTGCTAGCAATGCCCGCAGTGGAAAAAATGTGGTGTTCCAGGATGGAAATGGGGATGGAGGTTGTGTCCCAGGGGGTTACTGTGAAATCCTGTTACACATGTGAATGGTAATGAAGTCCACCCACGCCGTATTTTCAGAAGAACCTTGCTGGCAGATCTCGCCGAAGGCCAAGTCATAGCCTAAGCGCTGTTTGCCTCTGGGTTGTTATTACCTCTCCCTTAGTGCCCTACTCCTGCTTCCCCTCCATTTCAGTTCAGGTGCACCCCAGCCCCTGCCTCAGTCACCCATTGCCCCAAGTCTGCCCAGGATCACCCACTGAGGTCTCCTTTAGGCCTTTCATCCCTACCCCCAAACCAAACGTTTGGTTCTGTGTCCTGTCCCAATGAATCAGTGTTCCCTGGGGTCCCCTGAGGAAACACATAATAGTATAATTATTCCTGATGTGCCTTCTTGTGGGAACCAGCATGTATCCACCCCTCCGTAGAATGTAGGGCACAACCTCTACAGTGGTGACCAGAAATTGAATTACGCTTTTCAATTTGACTGATGTTTATTGGATACCTCCTCTGTGCAGAATACACTATTGGGGGGCAAAGATGAATACAAGGCTTTCAGTGTCCTCAAGAACGGTCTAAAGCCGGGGTCAGCAGTTGTTGCCTGTGAAGGGCCAGACAGTAAGTATTTTAGGCTTTGAGGGCCATAGAGTCTCTGCTGTTGCCCCTTAACTCTGCCAGTCTAGTGCAAAATCAGCACAGACACTACATAAATGAATGGACGTCACTGTGTTCAGTGCAGCTCTAGGTATAAATCCAGATGGTGGGCCAGTTTTCAACCAGGGCAATAGCTTGCTGAGTCTTTGTCTAAAGCCACAATCCCTTTTGCCCAGTTTTGTTTTTTTCCTGATCGTTCCCTGGCAGGATGGATTCTATAAAACAAGTAACAACTAAAGATGTTGATAAAAATGAGGGTCATTTGGTCAGCAATTGTAGTAGTGACTTCAGGGTGCATTGTCCACATTCACAAGCATAGATACAGAATGACCATCCAGACTTACACTCAATAAAATTGAGAAATATTACATATATAAGAGATAACAATTCCAGATTGTCACACTGATAATAAGGCTTACCAAAGGTATTTGGACCCAAAGAAAAAAATATTATTTCTTACAGCCTCTGATTATGTTGTTTAAAAATGTACCAAGAATGCAGAATCAGCAAAGAAGATTATTTACCTTCTGTTCCTATCACTACTTTAAAAACAAATGGGTTGTTTATGTGAATGAACTAAAAATTAAAGATAATGATTGTAATAAAGCTTGAAGTAGCCAGAGAAGATGCTGAAGAATAGGAGAAAGAAAAATATAAATAGGTGAGAGACCAGTAGATTGCTCACTGCAAAAGCAGCATGTGATAAATGTTATACAGGAGTTGTTTTCCATAATATTAATAAATCCAAATGTCAGTGGGTTGAGACAGCAAAAGTATATTTCTTTTTTTTTAATTTAGTGGTTAGACAATCATATACTTAAGTATTCCCCCCCTATATTTCTAGTACCCACCTGACACCATCCATAGTTATTACAATGTTATTGACTATATTCCCTAGGCTGTACTTTACATCCCCCTGACTTTTTGTAACAACCAACCTGTACTTCCCAATCCCTTCACCTTTTTCACCCAGCCTCCCAAACCTCCCCTCCCCCCCCAGCTACCATTAGTCTGCTCTCTCTATCTGTGAATCTGTTTCTCTTGTTTACTCATATCCCAGCCCAGTGAGGCTAATCAGCAGGAGGAAGGGAGATGTGCTCCATGCCAAGATTGAGGGACCTGGGCCCTTTCCATTGGTAGCTGGGCCATCTTCTCAGGCCTCCTCCACCTAGAAGAGGGCCCAGCTACTGTGCTTGTAGCTGACAGATGGGAAAGGGGGAGAAAGGGGAGAAGGTGGGCCCTCCCCTATCCACTGAGACTGGGAATGACATTCTCCATAGTAACTCACATTCTATTGGTAAGATCTAGTGTAGGTACAAAGAGGGCAGGGAAATGGGGTCTCAGGTCTAGGTGTGTGCCCAGGAAGAAAGGAAGAACACAGATGTAGTAAGCACCAGTGTTCTCTGCCACTGTTAAAAAAGTAATGATAGATCTGAGAGCAACAGTAAAAGTTTCATAGAGAAGGTGCTGTTTGAGGTGGACGTTGGGAGAAGCGTGGGACTTTGATGGATGGATTCAGTTTTGCAGTTACACAAGCAAGGACACTGAAGCAGGAAAGTCCAGGCTTGTGGTTGGGGAAGAGTAAGTACTCGTAGGTGGCTAATGAGTAATGGAGATAAAGTGACTCCCAGGGACACAGACCTTTATTCTGTAGATAGTTGTACAAGTGAAATGTTTCTGAGCATGCAAGTTGCATAGTCACAGGTATCATTACCCCCAGCATGAAAATGGACTGAGAATTGGAGGGTAAAGAGATTAGAGCCAGTAGGAAGGATATTGTCCCAATATGCCCTGGTCCCCAATTTACATTGTAGTCTTTCTGCTCTCTGTTTTTCTCAGCAAGTCTCTGGCTGCCTGATAGCTGCCATAGAACCAAACACCGGATCACTGGGG